CAGTTTTGGCTGGGGCCAGGCTGGAACACACCACGCCTGGTATATGGGGCTGGTGCCCTATTCCTTGAGCCACAGGCACCTCCCTGGGCAATTTTGTTTTGTTGCAGTTGTTTAGCTGGCCCAGGCAGGGTTCTAACCTGCCACCCTCAGTGTATGTGGCTGGTGCTGTAACCACTATGCTATGGGCGCTGAGTGTTTTTTTTTTTTGTTTGTTTGTTTGTTTGTTTTTTTATTGAAACAGAGTCTTAAGCTGTTGCCCTGGGTAGAGTGCTATGGTGTCATCATAGTTCACAGCAACCTCCAACTCTTGGGCTCGAGTGATCCTCTTGCCTCAGTTTTTTTCTATTTTTAGTAGAGACAGGGTCCTTGCTCTGGTTAGTCTCAAACTCATGAGCTCAAGAAGTCCACCCTCCTCGGCCTCCTAGAGTGCTAGGATTACAGCCATGCGCCATTGCAACTGGCCTGGGTTAAGTATTTTCATGTGTCTATCATAATAGGGATCAAGGCTAACTTTTTGGTTTTGTTTCGGTTTTTGTTTTTTTGAGCAGAGTCTCATGCTGTCACCCTGGGTAGAGTGCTGTGGCATCATCGCTCACAACAACCTCCAACGTGGGTTCAAGCAATCCTCTTGTCTCAATTTTTCTATTTTTTAGTAGAGACAGGTCTTTCTTTTGCTCAGGCTGGTCTTGAACTCATGAGCTCAAGCAATCCACCCTCCTGGGCCTCCCAGAGTGCTAAGATTACAGGCGTGAGCCACCTTGTCCGGCCAAGACTGACTTTTCCTTGTACCTCCAGCACCAGCCATAAATACCCACCTCTCCTCCACATCACACAAGGTACACCTATATGCCCTGCTTGCACAAAAAGATGCACTTACTCCTCTCTGTGTGGGCAAACCATAGTGGGTGTGTGAATCATGGTGGGAAGTGAGCCCAGTAGAGGCAAGGGGAATGAAACAGGTACCTGGCACAGAAACCCACCTCTCTCAGTTCCTCTAGCCCGTACTCCACAGCCGCTGTCAGCACTTCTAGCACCTGTAGAGTGGGTGGTTGGGGAGCAGAAGGGAGTTTCCCTGCTCCTCCCCCAAGTGTGATGGGAAAACTCCTACCTCTTGCACCCCCCAGCCTCTCCCACCCAGGCCTCTGCTCAGTGGGCTCACAGAGTGGCGATACAGCTTGACGCTATTGGTGTACAGGAACTCCAGCACTGCCAGGAAGGTCTCAGCTGGCACGGTGCTTAGCACCACGGCACTCTCCACCCTGGAGCCGGGCTCTGAGCCCAGAAGTCGCTGGAAGAAGCTGCATCTACAGGCCAACAAACACCGGTGGGCAAATATCTCCTGCCGTTCTTGACCAACCACAAAGCGAACATCACTGTGGAAGAGAGGGGCAGAAAGCCAGGAAGAGGAGGCCAGAGTCAAGAGTGCAACTTGGGCTTTTGCCTTGCCCACCTGGCCTGTGGTTTCCTATCTATAATGTAAGACACAGGTTTTTTTTTTTTTTTTTT